CCACCCACCCGACAGGAGCACGGCCTGTCCTCCACATGATCCACCCACCCGACAGGAGCACGGCCTGTCCTCCACATGATCCACCCACCCGACAGCAGCACGGCCTGTCCTCCACATGATCCACTCACCCGACAGCAGCACGGGCTGTCCTCCACATGATCCACCCACCCGACAGCAGCACGGCCTGTCCTCCACATGATCCACCCACCCGACAGCAGCACGGGCTGTCCTCCACATGATCCACCCACCCGACAGCAGCACGGCCTGTCCTCCACATGATCCACCCACCGGACAGGAGCACGGCCTGTCCTCCACATGATCCACTTACCTGACACAGCACGGCCTGTCCTCCACATGATCCACCCACCTGACAGCAGCAGGCCTGTCCTCCACATGATCCACCCACCCGACAGGAGCACGGCCTGTCCTTCACATGATCCACTCACCTGACACAGCACAGCCTGTCCTTCACATGATCCACCCACCCGACAGCAGCACGGGCTGTCCTCCACATGATCCACCCACCCGACAGCAGCACGGCCTGTCCTTCACATATTTCATTTCACCAGAGTGAAATGCTAAAATAACTAAGCATCGATTATGATTTCTGCTCCTCAGACAATTGTAGTACAAGTCTGCTTGCTACCTTGGCTCTCTATAAAGATGTGGCCACATTTGACAAGAGTTTTGTCCTGTGGACTAGTGCGCACAAGCAGGATGTCCATCTCAGACAGAGGCCCAACAAGGGGACACTTTCTGGCCTGTAGGGCAGATGGCAGATGAGCCCGCCAGCCGGATGTGAAGCTAACAGAACTTTAATTTACTTAATTCCACCATGGTATATGAATACAGATAATTAAAAACTCGGCTAAACAAAATAGCATAACAAAAAAAGAGCTGGAAGGATCTGGGAGCAGCGTTGACCTTGTGATTGTTCTCATGTGCAGCTCAGGCAAAGATGCCACCGGCCAACCCATCAGGTACGGGGAAGACTTCTGTCTTGGGATCACAGGAGGATTTGAAGACAAAATGGTGAGTCTGCACTGTGTATACCCACATCCAGTCAGTCTTTTCAGGTGCTTTCCCAACTACCTCTGGAAGCGGGTAGAGAACGGTAAGGCGGGTTTTATCTCTGACTTCATTCTGACTCACATTCTTAAAAACTGAAGAATAAAGGAAGAAAATAACTTGCAATTCAGCTTGCAAAGCTCCAAAGTTTTTATTACTTGCACCTCTACATTAGACGACTCAATTAATCATTACCTGACCCCCGCCAATGTCACTATCGCTACATATTGTTTCACATGACTGTTTTTAAAATAGTTGAGTCAGTCCTGTTACGTTGCTCGGGCCGGCTGTGAACTGTCTTCCTGCCTCGGACTCTCATGGACCTGGGACTGCACAGATGCGGTCTGACAGTTTTCAGTGAAAAACTTTTCATTAAATAGGCTTTTGCTTGCCACCCTTTCTGTCTAATGGGGGAGAAGATGCTGTGGGAGGTCCGGTGTGCATAAAGCATGCCTTTGGGTGACTAAGGCAAGTCTTTGAGCTCCTCCTTGGGGGTTGAGAGACTCGGCTCCAGGCGGGGCCGTGGGGCCAGGCGGACACACTCGTCCACCATGGCTGGAAGGCTCCCCATTTGAGCGTGTCACTCCAGCATCCAGCTCTGTGCATGTTATTTAGTAAAAACAGCGGCCTGGTCCTCTGTCCTGAAGGGAGCTGGGGATCAGGGGTGGGGAAACGGGAGCAGGGCTGAATTTGAGTTTGGTCCAAAGGAAGGAGATGTAGTTTGAGGTGTGGTGTGTGTGTAAGGCGGGGGGGGGAGGGGGGCGGAAGAGGGGGAGAGGGAGAGAGAAGGCAGAGGAGAGCGGAGCCGTCCATACCTGAGCAGGAGCAGGCTTTCGGGGACTGTTCTGAGCCTTGCCATCCCGCCCATGCTGCACACCTCCCTGCTCTTCAGGCCCCTTAGCTCACCTGCACGCCGTCTTTTCCAGCTGTATTTGTCCAGCAACCACAAGACCCTCCTGACCTCGTCTAAGAAGTCTTGGCTCCAGGAAGTGTACCTGACCGACCAGGCCTCTCACCTGAACCTCTGGCAGGCCACCTTCCTCGAGCCCCAGCTGCGCTTGGAGTATGAAGGCTCCCCGGTCCATGTGGGTGCAGCCCGGGGCCGGGCGGGGGGGAGGCAAGGTCCCCCGGG